CAGTGCCCTGTTTCTTCACTTGCTGATGACTAATGAATGTTTCAGTAGTTCTTTTCTACAACATTTTCAAAAAGCTCCAGAGCATGCCAAATGTACCATGTTCTTCAAGCATTACCAATTAGTCGCTTCCAGATAGACTTGACCTGTTGAGAAACTGTGGGGCATAAAAGTTGATTTCACCACTCACATCTCTGCAGTTCTTTTTGTTTGCCTATACTGTCCATGGTCGCTGCCCACAGCTCTGCTGACCTCCTTAGAACTTTGTGCTTGAACCTCTGATGATCTCCCTTTCCTAGTCAGTAGAGAGACAACTCTCCCTTCTTGTTCCAGCACTTTCAGAAGAGGGTGTCAAAGTGTTGTTATCAGGCTCCTTGTAATTGTGATTGTTAAAATGACCTTTTACTTTTCAAGACACATAGATAATCTGGCAGGGCTGGGAGACACAGCAATCAGTAACATTGAATCTGGTATTACTGCTCCTTTGATTAGCTAAATCCTCTTCCTCAATTTCTCATCAAACTTGACAATTTCTCTTTAGGGTCCTGTTGCCAACTCCTTAGTCTGTCTTTCTTTCCTTAGTTACTATTTCCACCATTCAGTCTGAAAAACAACCAAAGACTTTCTGGGCCTTTGCAAAACTGGACATGGGGTTAGGTATCTATTTGTGTCCCCAAATACTCCAAGAATTAAGAAATTCCGTAAAAATTTTGTTGTAACAAAACGGATTCTCTTTTCTACCTTACATCAATCTCAGATATAACTCTATCAAGGTGCTTTGTAGTATATGATATGTGAAATACCTAGATCATAGTAAACACACAAAAAAAATTTAGCCGTTACTACCATCCAGAATCAGAAATATCGTCAATGTGATGCTCAGAGGATATCTTTTAACAGACCAGGGGTCTGAATTTCTCTGTTTTCCCTTTGGCTGTTAAAAAGAAAAGTCACATACACTAAATATTGTCTTGCTTCCCTTTGAGTTCTCCTTCATGTCATTACATGTTTTTGTCTAAGATATACTATCACTGGGAGGAGGTGACTTATTGAAGACAAGAACAGGATCAATTTAAAAATATCTCAGGAGATTTTCTGGTCATTGTCTGTCCTGTTCGTTCAAGTTGTGTGTGGGTGCAGCATTAATAACCTTGGAGAATGAATAATATTGCCAGTTGCAAAATTGGGACATACAGAAGTTGACTGATAACTGTATTGTAAATGAACCTCAAAGTGGTGGGTGTGTCCTCTAGATCTGAGGGTGTGGTGTACTTTTAGTTACAAATTGAAAAAGAAAACATATAAGTAAATTTAGTTTATTTAGGTTCCAGTAATTCTAATCTTTTAAAATTCAACTTAACATTCTTCCTCTTTTCAGAACATTTAAGTGAACACTGAGTCAAAATCTGAAGCAAATCTATATAGACCTTTTTTGTTCAGTTTTTCTTTTGTTCTCAGAAAAATCACATTAATTAAACTAACATCAGTTGTCTAAAATATATCCAGTAGTCATCATTACATTGGTAATATAAATGTTTGTTTGCAAAAGAGTTTCTGATCATAAAATCTGTAGTCTAAGCAGCATTTCATCTAGAAAAGCAAAAATAAAGTAATCTTGGGAGATTGTCTGGGCCAATTAATTAGCATCACTAATATCTTTAAAGTTATTTCTTATTCTTTATATTTTTCTATCTATTGAAATAATACTGCTATGTATGTGTGTGTGTGTATGTGTGTGTGTGTTCTGCATCTTCTGATCCAGCCTATGGGAGAATCTTTCTTACTTTGTGCCATGAGTACCTTGACTACCCCACCCTACATTAGACTCTTGATGTCAAAAGCAAATGGGCTGGACCATGGATTTTTCATGTAAATTTAATATTTACATATTACATATTAAATATCAGGTTAATATTTGAATGGCTTGGACAGGAAGAGCACTCTTCCTGCTCTATGCTATCGACATGTGCCACATTCCTTGACTTGAGCCAGTCTTCTGCATGTAAGTAAATCTCTCATCTGAACTTTCTTTTTCTTGCTCTTAATCAATTTCTTGATCTCCTTTGGTTTAAAATCTGTCTACTAGAGCATCTTTTTCATAGATTATCTTTTTTATAAGAAGAAAAAAATGTTGTCAGACCAAATTTCAAAAAATGTAGGATTGAGATATATTGTGCTTTGGGTTATTTTATGGTCACTGAGTTTTATAAAGATTAATGATTTGGGAGTAATATCCAATTTCTTATTTTGCAAATGTTTCAGAACAATGTAGTAACATATGGCTACAAAATATATGCGATTTCTCCAAAATTACAGAATTATTTGTTTAATCAATAAACATTTGTGGTCGGGCTAGGTGGCTCAGCCTGTAATCCCAGCACTTTGTGAGTGTATTGCCTGAGCCCTTGGGTTTGAGACCAGCCTGGACAACTTGGTGAGATCTACTTGAAAGACTGAGGCAGAAGGATTGCTGGTGCCCAGCAGGTCGACACTGAGGTGGCTGTGAGTGTGCCACTGCACTCCAGCCTGGGAGATAGAGTGAGACTCCAACTCAAAAAATAAATAAGTAAATAATAAAATAAGCATTTGTATTTATCAAAAGACTTCTAACTAAAATGTTTCACATATAAGATATAAGGCAAAAGAAGACCTGATGCAGAACGTGAAGACAATGGAGGCTCATTTGTAATATAATGAAGGCAAATTGTATTTTTGCTGTACTTGTTATTTTGATATTCAATAATAAGTAGACCCTTTAAAAATAATACTTAGATATTTTTAATCAAAAAATTGGTGTACTCTCTTTTCTCCAAATTGGAAACTAGTTCAGTGGAACAGGAAATAAAAACTGCAAATTTTAAAAGTATTTCTTAATATCAAACACAAATATCCATGACCCTGATGGGTACAGGATGAAGTCTTTTCTACCAAGGTTCACTTTTTAGTTGTAGTGCAATAATCAGTGTCATTTCAAGCTACACATAGGAACAAAGCTTATGTGTTATAGAATGTTAAATAGACTTTTTATTGTTATTATTAAGAAATAAATTCTTGTTGATTTTATGCAGTATGATACTCAATAAAACTGAAGGATACTTAATTTTCTCCAAGTTTTATAGCTTTCTTTATATATATATTGGAGTATAGTTAAATGGGCACATAAAATTACTAATACAACTCATTTAAATATTTTTATTTATTTATTTATTTATTTATTTATTTATTTATTTACTGAGTTGGAGTCTCACTCTATCGTCCAGACTGGAGTGCAGTGGCTGCTCCCGGCCACCGCAGCCTCGACCTGCTGGGCTCCGGCGATCCTTCCGCCTCAGCCTTCCGAGTAGCCGGAATTACAGGCTCGCGCTACCACGCCTGGCTGATTTTTTGATTTATTGTAGAGATGAGGTCTCGTTGCCCAGGCGGGTCTCGAACCCGCAGGCTCAGGCAATCCACTCACCTCAGCCTCCCAAAGGTGCGGGATTGCAGGCTGAGCCACTGAGCCCGGCTCATTTAAATATTTTAAAGATGGGGCCTTCATCATTTAGCTGCCTACAGATTATAAAGTACAAGTTTTCTTTAATTCTGTTCTGTGCATGTTCATAGATTATAAAGCAGTATTAATGTTATATATTTCTGTTACTGACTGGCTCACAACCTTTCAGGACAAGGGTTGGTTTTTGTTTGTTTTTTGTCTCTAACTTTTGTCACTATTTCTAGCACAAAGTGGGTTTCTGACAAACGTTTGTTGAATTAAACAGGTGGCATGAAAAATTTCAGTCACATATAGAATGGATTATCATATACCCAAGTTAGTTTTATTTACAGTCGAGAGAACACTGTGTATAGTTCATTCCATGTTTGAAGACTGATTCTACCATTCTGAATGCTCTTGAGAAACTAGTTTATTCACTAGGTCTTAATTTTTTTTACCTGTAATCAGTAAGTCTTTTCTTGCTAAAATCTACGCCCAAGTTTGTTGGAGGAATTAAATGAGATGAAACATGAAAGGGATTTTGTAAATTCTAATGTGCTAAACAGATGTAAGCTGCTACTTATTCTACTGGGTAACTATAAATTCAGTGAACCCTTGGCAAACCTTTGCCTTTCTGTGACTAGTAGATATTTCCTTAAATATATTCTAAATACTGTATTTGATGTATAGCATTCCTCCATAGAAACCTACTGTTGGTTGTGGCAAATAATATGTTCTGTGTTTGATTATGAAATACTTAAATGTCTTCATTTTTACATGTCTGTGCAGGTTTTTCAGATGTCTGATTTATTTCAATTTTAATTTATTAATTTATCTAACAAAATCAAATAATAATGAAAATAACTTATAGAAAAGCTTATCAGAAGGAAACAATATACTCACTGTATTTTTTGGAAGAGAATATGTGTTCAACCTTAATTTCATAGTTTCCCCCAAATTAAGAATTCCCGGTAGAAATTCAGAGGTTCATGTGAGACTTTCAAACACTTGCCCTAGCAGGCTAGGACCACAGTTTTGTTAAGCTCTTTAATCCCTCAGATTTTTGAAATATGTATTAAATTTAAAATGTATGACTTGTCTAGCTGGAAAACTGAGAACTGTTTTTAAATCACCAGGTCAAACGTTTTAGGTTGAGAAATATCCCCATACATAGAAATGTTATTTTATGCCCACGTAGAATGTTCTGCTTAAAGAAAACTTGACTTAAGTTTATGAAATAAATTCTATCTGCCCTTTGAGTTTAGAATTTATTTTGCCCAAGAATTTATCAGGTTTTCTTTAAATATCAGACTTGTAAATATACTTAATATTGAATTTTTTGGGGTAAGTGCAGCTTTGAGGAAGTGTGTATATCTATCTGCCCCGTACGATTCATTCCCATATCATCTCTGAAAGAGCAAAGCAAATATAGGTTCATTTAAAATTGTACGAAAATGTTTGCTTAAAACAACCTTTTTGGAATGGAAAATGTCAGATCATTGAACTTATATCGCCTTTCTTTTTCCTTAAGGAGAATGGTGTTCAACGCATGTGTTCTGAGAGGCTGCTGCAGTCCAGGTTTGCCTGTTTGTGTCATTGTGTAAATTTGTGTGCATATTCAGTTGGTTTTTAAGAGAGTTCTTTTGACCTGACTCTCCAATAATTTTTTTCTATCCCTTTAGCAGGGAATGCCCCATACTACCATCATCCAGACACACTTCATCGACAGACAGTACTGTAACTTCAAGTGGTGAGTGGACTTGAAAAAGATATTAATATAGAGTGTTAGTATTATAACTTTAAGCCTGATGTTCTGTGACCTGCTGAGACGTGTGCAAATGAGAAGAACATAAGCAAATACCCCTTTTTGCATAGTATTCATACTGTTTGTTTCATCCTGTTGGTAGATTCTGGATCAGAAAATTTGAATATGGCTTCTGGTGACCTTGATGATAAATCACTCAGTAAGAAAGAGGAGGATACAAGATCAGCTTCTACCATGATAGAGACCCAAGGTAAGCTGTTGGGGGATAGCAACATAGTTTCCATTCAAAAACACAAAGCAGGTCTATAAGCTAGTGGAATAACTATCTTTAATAGCTAGTGATATTATTTAATATTAATTTTTTATAAAATAATTTTGAAGGCATAGTCTGAGAAAAGAAGTCTAAGATGTAACCATGGCTTTCCATATGAGATGATACCAATTTGTGTTTCAATTTTGTAGATTGGACAAAAGTTATGATGTATTATAATGGGACTTAAAATTTTCTATGACAAAGATTAACGGGACTTTACTGGGTTTCAACTGTTACACAGATGTGACATCACCTGCTTAGGAGAATTCTTGGAATCCTAATTAGAATCTATCAGGTTAGAAGGATGGACCAATTAGCGATGTCCACTCAGGCAGCGAGGGCATTAACCGGATGGTATATTAGACCCTTTTCTGCTACTTGACTCTGAAAACAAAGTAGTTATTCTTGACCATTCCTAGTGAGACACCACTCTAGTTGACACTCATGGGAGGAATAGGCTCTAATTCCTACCAAAAAATAATAATAATCAAGAAAAATAGTAATAATAATCAAGAAAAATCCATTCTATTCTTTGAAACTGACATTTAAATTTGGGATTTTAGGTGCTAAATTAGAGTAGCCATAGAACTGCAGAAATGGAATCCATTTTATAAGTTAATTGATGAATGTCTTTCCACTCCACCTTGAACCCAATAAAAAAGTTTTAATTAAAACTGCACCAAGGTACCATTTTTCATCTGTCATGTAGACAAAGATGCAAAAACTTGATTATTCTGTGTTGGTAATGTTGTAAGGGGCAAAGAAAACTGTTGTAGAGAGTGTAAATTTTTGTAACTGCAGCCATTCCCCCTTATCTGCAGGGGATACATTCTAAGATTCTAAAACCATGGATATACCAAACCCTGTGTACACTATGATTTTTCCTATATAGACATACCTAGGATAAGCTTAATTTATTAATTAGGCACAGTAAACGACGAACAACAATAAAATAGAATAATTCTAACAATTACTATAATAAAGTTATATGAATATGATCTCTAGCTCTCTCAAAATATCTTATTGTATATAATATTTTCAGACCATGGTAGATAGCAGTACCTGAAACCGTGAAAAGTGAATCCTTTGATAAGGGGGGACTACTGTAACATGGAGGGAAATGTCTAATGTGTATCAAAATGTTAAATGGACATATCCTCAATGAACAACAGTTCATTTCCAGGAATATATCCTAAAGATAATAGGGATGCCCAAATGACATATGTACAAGATATCTATTACAGCCTTGTCTGTGATAAGAAAATATTGGAAGCAAGTTAACTTACCTATCAACAGGAGATTACATTTTGGCATATTCATGTAATAGAATACCAATATGCCAACATAAAGTATGTATAGGGAGACTTTTCTTCTTTGAATAACATAAAATCTATTGTTTCTTAGAAAAAAGGTACAAAATGTTATGTGTTTTGTGGAAAACAGGTAGAAAAACGTTTTTATCTCTGGAAGACTAGGCAAAAATGAATAACACTGTGAGGATGTTAACTGGATTTCTGGCTGGGAGGGAAAATTTTCACTGAAAAACATTTGTGCACTTTTTGATGTGTGGACCATATGAATCTACTATCTGTCTTAAAATTTTTAAAAACCTAAAAATTTTTATAGGGAAAATATTGTATATCTCTGAAGAAACTGATTATCATTTTGTTTTTATTTTCATATAAATTTTACTAATATAATACCTAATGTAAATATTTTTTAAAAAGAAAGAAAACCAATCTGTAACTGCTGACCTTTGTGTCTGTACTGAGCTGAGTGCAGGACAGTGGACTGAGAGGAAAGGAGAACTATCAGGTATATTCCAGTACAAATAAAGTACACAAAAGTCAGGGGAAATTGCAAAAGGAATGGCACAAGTGAAAAGTGCATCTTCTTAGTTCCATGACATTTTACTTAGATAAGTACCATGTTTTAGAAGAATATCATTCCTTATTTCAGCCTTGCTTATGTAATTTTTTTTTTTTTTTTTGAGTCAAGGTCTCACTCTGTAGGCTGAAGTGCAGTGGCATGATCATAGCTCACTGCAGCCTTGTCCTCCTGGGCTCAGGCGATCCTTCTGCCTCAGCCTCCCAAGTAGCTGGGACCACAGGCACATGCCACTACGCCCAGATAATATTTTTTATTTTTTGTAGAGACAAGGTCTCACTGTGTTGCCAAGGCAGGTCTCAAACTCCTGAGCTCAAGTAATCCTCTCATCTTGGCCTCCCAAAGTACTGGGATTACAGGTGTGAACCACCACGTCTGGCCACATATGTAATTAAAAAAAAAAAAGTTTGTCAAGCTATAAAAAAACTACAAAGTTACTAACTGTTCATTCTTCCGTCATTCATTTTCTATTATTATACCAGTAATGTATTCAGTAAAAAAGCAGCATCAACATAAAAATGATTTTTTTAAAAAACGTACAAATGCTCATTTCTATTAGGAAATCTTATACAGCTTAGCTTTCACGTGGGCATGCCTTATTCTAATTCTAAGTCAATAAGCACATGTATATTTTATGTCATATATATTATATATGTTATACTATATATATGTATGTTTTGTAGCTCATAATTTGTCTTATGTGTTAAGGCTTTTGTTACTTACTGGTTGGCCTATATTGCCACCCTCACCATTTTTTTCTCTTTTACTTGCTACTGTTCCCACAACCTCCTTGTGTGTTTCCTTTTTCTCACAGGCACAGGTCCAACTCATGAGAATATTGCATGCCAAGACTCTATGAGTAAGGATAAAACCGCATTCAATCGGGTAAGAAAATAGACACGTTAACAATAAAAGTAATGATATATTACAAATGGCACTTTGTGTTTGCAAAGTACTCTTAAAAGTATTATCTCACTTGATCCTTTCAAAATATTATGAGACTCATAGAATTTAATTATAATCAGCATTTTATAGACAAAGAAGTTGAGGTCAAAATGCTTTTATGACTTGTCCAAGATCGTATTAATACAATGGAGTCAGAACTAGGAACTTTTGGCTCCACCTTGATTTTTCTTTCATTCGTTCATTCACTCATTCATTTATTTATCGAAGATCTGTTGAAAATGAGCTAAATATCACTCAGGAAAGGACTGCTTAAATAAATGAATGCATTAATAAATACATTTGAATAAAAGCGTGGCATCGATTCTAAGGATATATTCTTCTAATCAAGTGAAGAAACGGATAATTACTCAATAGTTAGAGTGTGATTAGTGATTTGAAAGAAAAAATACTTGGGGTGGAAGGCCACAGAAGGGATCATGGAGGAAATACCATTTGAGTGGCACTGAATGTGCTTTAGTTGCACTTCAGAGCTCTGTACCACATTATAAAGAGAGTTAGAAATGTTCATAGAAAAGAGTATTTTCTTAAAGAGAAGACTCCTTGCCATTGTGTAAATTAATAATTATTGAAAAGTCACTTGTAGATTATGAACTCAATTCCATGGTCCTTCAAGAGTCTTGCTTTCATAGTCCTTCTGTTATTTGTGTAGAGTTTTGTGTATGTGTATTATTGTTGCTTTCTCCTGGACAGGTATGCATTGTACTAGTTAGGCCCATTTAGTTACAAGAAACAGACCCAAGCAAGCTAATTCAAGTCAAGAGGAGGTTACAGCAGCTTATTCTGAACGAATAATGGAATAATTGGATATATGATTTGTAATGATCCTTTGAATGTGGTATGAAGTTCAGTCATCAAATGCTCAAGACCCTTATATAAAATGGCATAGTATTTGCATATAACCTAACACGTCCTCTTGTGTACTTCAAATTATTTCTGGATTACTTATAATATCTAATACGATGTAAATACTATGTAAATAATTCTTTTACTGTATTGTTAGGAAATCATGACAAGAGAAAAGTGTATATATCCAATACAGACACAACTATCATAGGCCTAACCACATTTTTTTATTTGAGGCTGATTGAATCCATGGATGTGAAACTGATGGATATGGAGGGCTGACTGTATAGTGTTAGCTAGCATGCATGCTGAAAACGACTGCCCCTCATAAAAAAGTGACAGAGGAAAATACAAGTCCTTTAGTCTTTCATAGTAGAATCTTCTGAGAAAAGTAATTCCTTCTCATCTCAAAAAATATGGCACTTTAATTGAAAACACTTAAAAAAATAATGGATTAGAAAAATGTAGAAATGGCCATGGTGGAATTGGTTAGGATACTCTGGTAATAATTCAGATGAGAAAAAGGTAGTGTGAATTTAGTGAGAATGGAAGAAAGGAGACTAATTTGAGATCTATTTAGGGGTGGAATTCACAGTAAGTGGTGACATATCAGGAGTAGAATAACGTGAGAGTAAGTAGGGAGAAAAAACAAGAAAACTTGTGGGATAAAATAAGATCAGTTTGAGACAGGTCAAATTTCAGGTTGATGTGAGATACCAGTAGTCTGTAAGGAGATTTTATATATGGCTATATATGCATATTCATAAAGTCACTCATGTGACTTTTAAAAGCAGATACACATTTTGAGTTATCAGCAAAAAGCCAAGTGTATGGACAAGATTTCCCAAGGACTGTGGCAGGAAGGGAGGGAGCATTGAGGATAATGAACTCCTGATGGACAGTATCTAACAGCGCAGGTAGAGGAGACTGAGAAGGGCTATTGTGGTGATATGGGACAGGGGCATCACAAGAGGGAAACCAAGGGAAGGAAGGTCTTCAAGAAGAAGGGATTTATAGATCATTTTAGATGCTGTGGTGAAGTCAAGACAAAGACTAATCATCCATTGAATTTGGCAATGGAAGCTCACTGATAACTGATGAGAGCACTTTCCTGGGAGTGTTGACTGAAGGGTAGAGTAGCTAATAGGTCACAAATGGGAGATGAACCAAGAACAACAGCCTTGGACACCTCCTCCCAGAAGCATGACTGCAGAGGACAGGAAAGAAAAGGCCATCACTGGGAAAGATCTGGGATTGAGAGAGGATTTAAAAAAATAGAGAATATTAACGTCCATGAGAACAATCTAGTGTTTAATCTGCATCATTGTATTTGTTACATTTTATTGAAACCTTAGTTTCAATTGTTTAAAAATGTCATGACATGGTGTCAATGGATTTACCAAGGAAATTTGTCTTCTTAGACTTCATTTTTAATAAGAAATTTCTTTGGTTTTCTAAATTTTTCTATTAATCTGAGAATGTTGGATAATTATTAACATAAAAAGGATTGGCTACGTAAAGTTTTCCCATTAGATTTCCCTAGGCAGTTCAACCCTGTTTTTGTGGTAACCTTTGTTATACAGATACATTTATAGGACAGTTTCATGACCTGAAAACATATTCATGTGGCGTAAACACCTAACATAACAGTGTTGCCTACCATCTTTGCCACAGTTTTTCCAGAAACCCATCTAGAAAGCCACATGAGATAGCTGCGTATCACCCCACTTGACCTCTTCATCCATCCAATCCTACCTCTCCCCATCAAGCTCCAGCACATTCCTTGTCTGCAGATTTTCCATGCTTCTCAAGCCATGGCATCTCTCTCCTTCCTATCCAGAGCGCTTATTTATCCATCTCATTCATTTGGCAATTAACCCTAGTTTGCATTGTTGTAACTTGAGTCATGTTTCCAGCTTTTCATATGCTTATGTCATTTTTGCCTCGGCTAGATTGGAAGCCACTTTGGAGCCAGGTTTTTTTTTTCTTCTTCTTCTTCTTAACCCTTTGTATCGTTCTTTGAATACTATAGATGTTTTTGATGAAGTAGGATTAGGTGAGGACAGGAAGTTGGGAAATGACTGGCTATGAAGAATTTCCACTCCATATACAGCAATAAAACCCTTTATGATTTTAGGAAACCAAAGAGGAACCAGAAACAATAGAAGAGCATAAAAGAGAATGTGCTACAGGAGGTAAGGAATGTTTTCTCTCGATCCCTATGGGAACTTTTGTTCCCTGCTGATATTTTTGTGGGTGAAAGCTTTGAGTAAAGATATGCCATCTATGAATTATGCAACTCTGGATAAGATCACACAATAGGACTGATTTTCTTGATTCCATTTGTATCATTTTCAAAAAGTCTATTTATGTTGCATCAACTCTTTGATCCCAGAAAACGTGTAAGAACTAGTATTCTATTGTGAACTAAGAAAAGCTAATGTTGATAATAAATTCTAAGTTTGAGTTCTTTTTCAGTATCCCACCTAAAGTAAATAAGCCAATATTGACAGAATAAATGCTAATAACCTTCCTCAACCTGTCTTCATTAGAATGGAACAGTAAATAGAGTTCAGCCTTGGAGACACACAGACTTCTGTCAAAAGAAAATGTGAAGAAAGTCAGTCTCTGACTAGCTATGTGATCTTGGAAAGTTATTTAACCTCAAGCCTCAGCTTTCTCATCTGAAAAATGGAAACAATGAGTAAAAAAAAGTACACTTTATTGAGAATAGGCTATATTCTAAGTACTAGATTAAACTCTTTATGTGTGTAATTTTATTTAGTCTTCCAAATACTATGTGAGATGAGTAGATTGTGATGAAGTGGCCTAGCATGTAAAATGTGGACAATAACAGTATCTACCACACAAGGTTAGCTGTGAGGATTAAATAAATTAATGTGTATAAAACACTTAAAAAAGTGCCTGGCACAGAAGTTCTCAGAAAAGTTAGCTACTTTTGTAAAAATAAGGTCAGCTTTATTCAGTAGACTGTTTTAAGAGGTTGTGAGTTGTGACGTGTTCAAGATCACATAGCTATGAGTCCAACAAAGCTCAGATTTAAGCCAACTTTATTCAACTTTAAATCCAGTGCTCTTAATAGCTAACAGAGTATCATTTGCAAAGTTGTCATAAAGAAAATCATAATATGTGTAAAGAACTTTGTTCTGGGACTGGCATATTGTAAAACTATGGTTCATGCCATGTTTATTGTTGCTGTTATTGTTGCCATATTTTTATTACTACTATTATTATTACTACTTCTGCTACTAAAATTATTCCTGCTGCTATTAAAGGCTTGATCCAAAGAATGACCAGGATACCAGAGAAAGGCATGCATTTAGCTGTGGGATCAAGTGTAAGAAATATAAACACAAAGAGAACAAATCAAGCTGTCCCTTGAATTCTTTAGGTTTCAAAGACTAGTCACATGCTGAGATGTCAATGATCTGAATGTCATCGTGACCCCAATAGCTTAGCATAACATTATCTTAAAATTTAAGAAAACCATTATTGACTAGCTATCACCTCAAACAAATTTAAATGAAACGCTTTTCTTTAGAAGAGCTAGGCCATAAACAAATGTGCTTTTAGGTGTTAAGTCTTTTTAACTAAATAATATATTATTGTCTTTTCCTAGACATGACAGTCACCCCTCTTCCTGTAACCACTGTGAAATCAGTTAACTTTAGACAAAGTGACAAGTAAGTGCTTCTTCACATAGCATGTTAACATGTTTTATTTTGCTGTTGGATTGTATTTGAGTAAATTCTTTTTCTTACCCTGCAGCACCTCAGCTAATGAGAAGGAGGTGGAGGTGAGTTAAAAGCAAATGTTTTTTCTTTAAAAAAAAAATTGTTCCAGACTTCCCTGCTCCAGTTGCTTCATGCTGCACAAGCTCTCGCGCTAGGTGTCTGTTTGGCTTGGCAATGATGAGGTGCAGAGAAGCCTACGCATGTCAGCATTTTGTTGCTGGGAAGGGAAAGAAATATCTCAGTAAAACTCGGTACTAAATGGAAATATTTGACCACGTCCAATTTTGTCTCCTCACCTTCACGTTATTTTGACAACAGGCAGAATTTCTCAGATTATCTTTGGGGTTTAAGTGTGACTGGTTTACGTTGGAGAAAAGAGTGAAGCTTGAAGAGAGATCCCGTGACTTGGCAGAAGAAAATTTGAAGAAAGAAGTCACTAACTGTTTAAAGCTATTAGAGGTGAGAAGCAGAACATGTGGGGTTTAACCATTTGGTCATATTTCTAGTAAGGTTTGTATAATTTTATATGATTTTACATGTGTGACCAAAGTCAACACCAGATATCAAGCCCTGCCTCACCCAAATGTGAATTGTAAAAACAAGAATTCAGAAGCAACCTGAATTAAAAGTTTTGCTAATAGAAGAATGTCAGCAATAAAGCAAAAATTATCTTTTGAAGTGGGCTGTATGAGTCATCTGCCTTCTCCCTTGATTTTCAAATAGATTTCAGGCAGAAGAGTGATCATGCAGAAAAGCTGAGCGGTAGGAGAGATAGTATCAATTTTAAGCTTCATAGAAGAGAATTGAACATCTACTTCCATTTATGGTTAGCTGAGGAAAGAGAATGGTGACTGACTCAGTCTTGTCACACGGTGGGCAAGCCTGCTGTGGGATACTGAGAGAAGAAAGAGGGTACACAGGACTACAACAACTACTATTATCCTTCCATGTTGTGAAGCTGCCATAAATTTAGAGATGGATTGGAAAATTAAGTGGTCTAATCTGGAATGAAGAATATTAAAATTGAGAAACCACATTTTGTTTTTTATTGTGTATCACATAAAATGTACCACTTTAACCATTTTAAATGCACAGTTTAGTAGTGTAAGTTTATATACATTGTTGCAAAACAAATCTCTAGAGCTTTTCATCTTTCAAAACTGAAACTCTATCCCTATTAACTCCCTCTTTGCAATTTACCCCAGACCCTGGGAACCACCATTCTACTGTTTCTATGAATTTGACTACTCTTAGAGACTTCATACAAGTAGATTTATACAGTATTTGTAACTGGTTTATTTCACTTAGTGTCTTCAAAGCTTACCCATATTATAGCATGAGACAGGATTTTCTTTATTTTTAAGGCTGAATAATATCCTGTTGTATGTATATACCAAATTTTGCTTACTGTTGATCCATCGATGAACATTTGGGTTGCTTCTACTTCTTGGCTATTGTGAATAGTACTGTTAGGAATATAGGTGTTCAAATATCTCTTGGAGACCCTGCTTTCAGTTCTTTAGGGGTGGTATGTATACATCTCCAGAAGTGAAATTGCTAGATCATATGGTAATGCTATTTTTAAGTTTTTGAGGAACCACCATACCATTTTCAATAGCAACTGCACTATTTTACATTGCCACCAATAGTGCATGAAGGTTCCAGTTTCTCCAAATCCTCACCTTGCCAATCTGTGTTCATTTGTTTTTATGGTAGTCATCCTAACGGGTACACAGTGGTAGCTTTGTGGTTTTGATTATTTCTCTGATGATTAGTGATATTGTGCATCTTTTCATATGCTTGTTGGGCATTTATATACAATCTTTGGGAAAATGTCTATTCAAGTCTTTTGTCTGTTTTTAATTGAGTTATTTGGATGTTGCTGGGGTTAAGTGGTAGGAGTTCTTTATATATTTTGGATACTAATCCCTTTTGGTTATGTGATTTGAGTACTTTCTCTAATTCTGTAGGTTGCCTTTTCACTTTATTGATTTGATGTTATACAAAAGCTTTTAAGTTTGATGTGGTCCCATTGGTCTATTTTTTTTTTTTTTTTTTTTTTTTGAGTCAGAGTCTCACTCTGTCACCCAGGCTGGAGTGCAGTGGCCACCCCAGTGTCGACCTGCTGAGCTCAGACAATCCTTCTGTCTGTCTTCCAAGTAGCTGAAACTATAGGCTCAAGCTACCATGCCCAGCCAATTTTTCGATATATTGTAGAGATGAGGTCTCACCAAGTTGCCCAGGCTGGTCTTGAATCCTTGGACTCAGGCAATCTTCTTACCTCAGCCTCCCAAAGTTCTGGGATTACAGGCTTGAACTACTGTGCCCAACCCATTAGACTGTTTTTACTTTTGTTGACTGCTTTGGATGTCATATTCAATAAATTATTTTTCCTTATGTTTTCTTCTAGAAGTCTTGTAGTATTGGGTCTTTTAGGTCTTCAATTCATCTTGAGTTAATTTTTGTATATGGTGTAAGATAAGGGTCCAACTTCATTCTTTTGTATGTTCTTACCCTGTTTTCTCAGCATCATTTTGTTGAAGAGACTACCCTTTCCCCACTGTGCATTCTTGGCACACTTGCCAAAGATCATTTGACCATATATTTGAGGGTTTATTTCTAGACTCTTTATTATTCTGTTCCATTTGTTCATATGTCTGTTTTTATGCCCATATCATACTGTTCTAGTTATTGTAGCTTCATATTATGTTTTGAAATTGAGAATTGTGAATTTTCCAACCTGTTTCTCTTTTTCAGAGTTGCTTTGGCTATTCAGATGTCCCTTGAGGTTTCACATGAATTTTAGGATACATTTTTCCATTTCTGCAGAAAATGTTACTGGGATTTTTAGAGAGATTTCCTTAAATCTGTAGATCACTTTGAGTATTATGGGCATCTTGAGATAATTAGATCTCCCAAACCTTGAACACAGATGTCTTTTCTTTTATTTGTGTCTTCTTTAATTTCCTTCAACAATGTTTTATAGTTTTCAGTGTAGAAGTCTTTGCCCTCCTTGGTTAGGTTTACTCCTAAGTATTTTACTCTTTTTGATGCCATTGCCAACTGAATTATTTTCTCAATTTCCTTTTTGGAAATTGTTAGTGTATAGATACACAACTGATTTTTTTGTGTTAATTTCACATTCTACAATTTTGCTGGATTTATTTATAGTTCTAACAGCTTTTCATATAATTTTTAGTGTTTACTACATACAAGATTATGTCATCTGCAAACACAGATAATTTTAATTCTTCCTTTCTGATTGAATACTTTTTATTTTTTTATTTTCTTGACTAATTATCCTGGCTAGATCTTCCAGTATTCTGTTAAACATAAGTAATGAAGTGGGCAATCTTTTCTTTCCTTGCTTCTCATCTCAGAGGAAAAGCTTTCAGTCTTTCACAGTTGAGTATAATGTTTGCTGTAGGTTTTTTCATATATCACTTATTATGTTGAGATAATTTCCTCCTATTTCTAGTTTAAAAAAGTTTTTTTTTATTTTAACGATATGGGGTACAATTCAGGGTTAGATATACAAATGTACATTATGCAGGTACCCTTGTTGATGAGGTGTGCCCCCACCCCACTCCCACCAGCAGTTTCCCACTACTGCCAATTCCACCATTCTCCCCCCACCCCACCCTCTGGCAGTTTCCCACTACTACCAATCTTGTCAAATGCTTTTTCTGCATCAATTGAGATGATTATGCGATTTTGTTCTTTTTATTAATGTGGTATATTACATTGATTTTCATATGTTGAACCATCTTTGAATTTCAGAAATAAATCCCACTTGTTCATGATGTATAATTCTTTTAATGTGCTGCTTGATAATATTTTGTTGAACATTTTTATATTAATACTCATCACTTACATTGGTCGGTAGTTTTCCTTTTTGCCATATCCTTGTCTGGCTTTGGTATCAAGGTAATGTGTGTCTTCTAGAATGAGTTCTCTCTCTAATTTTTTTGAGAGTTTTAGGAGGATTGGCATTAATTCTTCTTGAAATGTTTGGTAGAATTCCCCAGTGAAGCTACCTTGTCCTGGGCTTTTCTTTGTTAGGAGGTTTTTGATTATCAATTCAATTTCCTTATTAGTTATAGGTCTGTTCAGATTCTCTATTTCCTAATTCAGTCTTGGTTAGTCATATTATCTTTTGCTAACAGATATCTGCTCTTTCCTTCCCAATGGGAGGTGGCCATTTAAACTACCATAAGAAACTATGTGTCTGACAATAGTCGTTCCAGTTGTTAGCAACTCTCCAGACATGACTTACACATATTCTCTCTGACTCAAAAATGACTGCCCTTCTTGAGCACCAACTATCTGACAAGCAATTGGCATCTCTTCTCAAACTGTAGTATTCCTGAAAGGAAGACATGATTGTCTCCATATGACAGATAGGGAAACAGCAAATCAGAAAGATGGTTTTTTTTGTTGTTTTGTTTTGTTTTTGTAGAGACAAGGTCTCACCAAGTTGCTCGGTCTGGTCTCGAACCCACAGGCTCAAGCAATTCACTAGCCTCGGCCTCCCAAAGTGCTGGGATTACAGGCCACCCAGCCCAGCCAGAAAGGTTGTTATTTTAATGTTTCTAGAATTATGATGCAATTTAAAATCAACGGTACCTAATGGCTTTATTGGCAGCACTTTTTCTTTCTTAATGTTATACAAAATAATGGTACCTCTGTTTTAGATTTGAGCAGGTCTTAGAAATTTGCTCATAACCATAAAGCTAACAAGTCGTCTTGATCTCCAGACCTGCTGTTCTCTTAGTTCTGTCTCTACCCTAGTCCAGACACACCCTAACATCAATGGAAAAGCAAGTGTAGCAGTCAGAGCTATTTCTAATTCCAGTATGCTTGGTTACTTGCCTCAAAATTTCTACCTATAGTTCTCATGTGGTACATTCAACTCACTTGTAAGCACCGTCTCCTTACCATTACCAATTAATTACAGTTCATCCTATTGATTATAGAAGAAAGATGTGAATACGTATGAGGAAGTGGCAAATTTGGGAAGCAAAGGATCAAGAATAGACATAAAAGATTTGTGATTACCTGCATATATCTACCCATTAGCCAACAAAGATACTAATATTTTAATATCATTCATTATTGGTTTTTGCTGCTACTTTTCACCCTCTACCAAGGTAACTGAGATTGGACTGTCATTTGTATTTGCAACTTAGTCAGTGTTAGAATCACCTGCTGAATGCTTGTGTTGAATATCTTAATACTCTTGTCTCTGTACAGTCTTTAACACCTCTGTGTGAAGATGACAACCAGGCCCAGGAAATCATTAAGAAACTGGAGAAGAGTATATCGTTCCTCAGCCAGTGCACAGCACGAGTGGCCAGTAGGGCTGAGATGCTAGGAGCCATTAATCAGGTAAACTGTCTTCATTTCTCTAATCGCAATGAAATTACTAAAAGGATTTATTTTCCCTAGGATTATGGATTACATTTCTAGGAAGAATCTCTAAAATACTTTTTAGATGTATAAGGCATACATGTTTAATATATAAATACACAAATAAAAATGTAAAGAAAAATATCTTATAATATTAGGCAGTGCCAATTATAAAAATTTTGTGATATATTATTCTAGCTATTCATTCATACGTTGTTATAATCTGCTTCTTTTTTGTTTAACATATAGTATAGATAACTTATGTGTGATGCCATAATAATGAGATGTATATTAAGTCAATCTATTGGTTGAATAGATATAGATTATTTAACAAATCTCTTATATTTGATCATTTAAGGATGCTCTTAATATTTTACAATTAAAAGCAATACTACAAGAAATATCCTGTACATGCATCTCTGTGTACTTATTCTTAGAGAAGAATTTCAGAATTTATTTGTGGGAATATATAGAGAGACTTGAATTTTTTTTATCTATTCCTAAACAAACTCGTGAAAATTTTTTTTAAGGAGACATTTAATTGTGGTGGTAGTTTTAGTTTGATCATTTGTTACACATTTTCACATCCTAATTCCTTTTTAATCCCTCACTAGAGAATATTTTTTTAATTTTTACTAAAGTTATGCATGCATATAGTTTTTTGAAAAGTCAAATAACTCTATAAGCCTTATAATCCAATTTCCCATGCTCCAGAGCCACGACTTTCAACTCCCTTGGCTGGTTTGCATTCATATTTTTAAACCACATGCTTATGCTGTCATTTAGTGATTTTTTTCCAGTTTCAGGTATTATCTGTAGCTTTCCCACTACAAAAATGAATATTTAGTCCTTTTATCAATTTCTGCTTCCTCACACCTTATCCCTGGTCCTCACCCTAGTGTTGTCCACCCTTCTTTCCTGACTAAACTTAAACTTCATGGTCAAACAGTGTTCACTAGCTCACATGAACCTTCAACACTTTTCCCTTTCTTGCTTTGTCTTACTCATTTGGCAAATCTACAAACCTGTTTATATCTACTTCTCCTTATGAACTGAGTGTTACCTGAGGAAAAAAAATTAAGTAAAAAAAAAATAATAAAATAAGTTCACTTCTCTACCTGCTCATACCTGCATAGTTGGAAAGCACCACACCCCTTTTCTGACTGAGTTCTCTTTAAATTCATTATCACAAACCACAAATGGGTCTTTGAAACTTCCCATCATGCCCCTCCCTGTCTTTTAAATATCAATATCACACCCTTTCCTTTCTCCTCAAACCTCTATCATGTCCTTCCCTATGTTCTATGTCCAATACAGGTCATGACTTTGCTTCCTACCTCACTGAGAAAATTGAGACCATGAGAAGGGAGCAGCCACAAGCCCCGAGACTACCAGCCTCCAAGCCCTTATACACTGCCTTCCACCTTCCTCTTGTTACTCCTGAGTTGTCTCTGATCCAAAGGCCAACTTTCCCACCTGTATATGAGATCTCATCCCCTTTAATTTACTCAGGGTCATGGGCACAAATTCTCCCAATTCTCCTCCATTTTAGTTTTCCCCACTCTACTGAACCATTCCCATCAGCACCCACATATATTGTTTTTAAGGTGGGAAAAATAGCACAAAATAAACACAAACAAAAGAATCTTTTGCTCTCTCTTCTCTATGACCACCCTGTTCTCGCCTCTCATTTACAGCAAATCTCCTCATCAAAATAGCACTCAACGTTCAGTCTCTCTCCTCCCATACTCTCTTAAGCCTACTCTAATCAGCCTTTTGCCTCCACTCAGTTGATTTTGCCAAGGTCACCAGTGACCTCCACTTTTCCACATTCAGTTTCTCAGTCCTCATGTGGCATGGCTGAGCTCTTTCTCTTTCTGGAAACACTCTCCTCAGTTAGCCTCCAGCGATCACATTCCCCTGACTTTCTCTAAAGCATGGGCCCCTCCTACCAGACACCGGGGCTCCACCCCTCTTCCCAGACCTCTTAGCACTGGAGAGCCCGAGGATTCCACACTCGTTTATGTCTGATCTCCACCTGCACTCAATCCGCATGCTTTTGGCTGATGACTCCCAAATTCATGTTTAGCCTAAGCCACTCCCTTGAGTTCCAGACTGAAATATACTCCTGCTGACTCAACATTTCCACTTGGGTAGTTGACAAATAATGCAAACTTAACAGCCAAAACAAAACTCCTTATGGTCCCTCCCAAACCTACCCCACCCATAGTCTCCTTACCTTGGTCAAGGGCAATTCTGTCCTAGTTACTCAGGCCAACATGGGCGAAGGGGCACTAATTCTCAGCACCTTTCTCATCTCACACCCAAGCCTACAGAAAATCCTATTCACTCTACCATCAGCATATATTCAGAATTCAACCACTCATTTCCCTCTCCACCACTACCATCTTGATCTAAACTTCCATTCTATTTCTCCCAGATTAATTTAATAGCTTCAGAAATGGTCTCCCTGTCTCCATCCAATCCCAATCCCTCCTCCCAACACAGTCTGTTCTTAATAAAGCAGCCAGAGTAATCCTTTAAAACTCTAGCCAGATCATACTACTTTTTGGGTCAAAGTCCTTCAGGGGCTCCTCACTTTATTCAGAGTAAAACAAATACTTGTATACAAACATTCATAGGGCTCTGAGCGTTTCAGATGTTTCCTTGGGATATCCCTAATGTTGGTAGTTACAGAACTTTCATCTTAAAATGTTAGATTCCCCAGAGAAAAATCTTCCAACTGTCTGCCTTGGGAGTATAACCCTGTCTGCCTGTGTTTGGGAGCTTGAAGAAGAAATAAGATTGAGGGATCTCAGTACTAGTATGCATACAACCTTTGGCTTAAATCTATTGTTTTCAATATGATATACTCACCATCAACTATCTGTGATTTTCGGTCAACAGAACCTCTCTTTAACTCTCTCTAGATTTTCAACGTTATGGTCTTTCACCAAGATAGAGGAGGGAAAGTTGCTCTGTTGGCCAGAGTAAGAAAGGGGATCTCTGAGTCTAATCGCTTTTACACAGACTTTCACCCATTTCTTTTATTCACATATCCACCTTCAACCTTACTCCCAGTTCAGAGTGCCACTAATTCCTAAGCCTTTGAGGATTACTATTCTGTTGTCTAGGTTGCTTCTAAGCAATATAAATATATAACTGATACATAAACACACTGCTTTTTTTAGGGTTTAGGTTTTCCACGTCTCCGTCATTTACCACTATATATCTAGACTTCAAATTTTTGATACAGCTTTATTCTTTTCCGTCCTATTTGCCCTTGTAGACCCAAGTCCTTTTTAAAAAAATACTTTTGTTGTGATTTTAGTGGGATTTAGGAATGGAGTAAAGGCAGATGCATGTGTTTAATCATCATCTTTTAATTGAATATTGTGAAGAGTATTCTCAATGCAATTTTGCTCTTTTTTTCTTACTAGGAAAGTCGGGTTAGTAAAGCAGTTGAAGTGATGATTCAGCATGTAGAAAACTTAAAGAGAATGTATGCCAAAGAACATGCTGAATTGGAAGAACTGAAACAGGTTCTTTTGCAGAATGAAAGGTCTTTTAATCCTCTTGAAGATGAAGGTAATAAAAGTTTAAATAATAGTGTTAGCTGGGGTGTTTTTATAACATTATCCTCTTTTATGCTCTCTGTCTTATTAGGTCTTTAGTACAAGACCTTAAACTAAAGGACATATTAGAAAAATAACTCATTCCTGTTATTCATAAAGTGAAGAGTAAGGTGTCAGAAAACCAGTTGGGAGACATGAAGGATTCTTTGGTAATGACACCCAAATTAACTCAATTTAGATTGCTGAAATGAGAAAATTTATTTATTTGTTTGTTTATTTATTTATTTATTGAGTTGGAGTCTCTGTTGTCCAGGCTGGAGTGCAGTGGCATGCTGATGGCCACTGCAGCCTCCACCTGCTGGGCTCTGGTGATCCTTCCGCCCCAGCCTTCCAAGTAGCTGGAAGTATAGGCATGCACCACCCCGCCCCTCTAATTTTTTGATTTATTGTAGAGATGATGTCTCGCCAAGTTGCCCAGGCTGTTCTTGCACCTGTGAGCTCAGGCAATCCTCTCACCCCGGCATCCCAAAGTGTGGGATTATAGGTATGAGCCACTGTGCCCAGCCCGAGAAAATATATTTAATCTAACTCATTAACTTGCTCCTAGTAGTTCCCTATTTGGGATATGTTAGAATTGGCTATTTCTCCACATGTAAAGCAAGGCACACTAGCTTCAGCGAGCCACTTATCAATATTGGTTTAGATTCTCAAAGAAGGAATGACTCTGGCACAGTAAACCGGCCAACGGGCTAGAGAGCAGAGAAGCATATGTGGCCATGGAATAGATCATAACATATTGCTCCTATAAATTTTACTATAATTTTCTTTAAAATAAACGGCTTTAAGTTTGTTGAGCAGAATTCTTATTGTAATAATATGTTCCCCTTCTAGAAGAGTAACCATATTTGGTACTCTTCTGGACTGTACTTTTAGACTTCCTTCTCTTGACAGATAATTATTTAGTGTCTACCATGTCCTAACTAGACATTATGGACACCATGGTGACACAAAGAACTGTATTTCACTGGTTAAGATCATAATTGTTATGAAGCAAGAAATAAATAATGCTGGGCTCGGTGGCTCAGCCTGTAATCCTGTGCTTTGGGAGGCTGAGGTGAGTGGATTGCCTGAGCCCACGGGTTCGAGACTCACCTGGGCAACTTGGCGAGACCTCATCCCTACAATAAATCAAAAAATTAGCTGGGAGTGGTAGCGCGCGCCTGTAGTTCCAGCTATTTGGAAAGCTGGGGTGGAGCCCAGCAGGTTGAGGCTGCAGTGGCATCTGGGCAACAGAGTGAGACTCCAACTCAAAAAAACAAACAAACAAGAAATAAATGATAAACAAATATTGATATTGCTCAGCAATCTCTGGAGTCTTAAGTTGTTTCTGACCTTTGCTTTTCTTTGTAAAGAATTAAGACATTGCTTTAACACAAATTGCAGGTATAATATGTAAAATGTGCAAATGTGTCTTTCCTTTTAGATGACTGCCAGATTAAAAAACGTTCAGCTTCTCTAAACTCCAAGGTAATTACTAATTCACTTACCCAAGTCTATCAAATGCTTGTAAGCAAGCTGCTTTTAAAATATTATTCGAAGCTACATGCCTTTCAGTGTAAATCACAAAACAGTGATTTTAATTCATATAGACGTATGTATAAGTGTGTATATTCGTTTATATAAGTATGCTTTTATACTTCCTACAGTACTCACATATCAATTGAGTTTGCCTGGTAGCACAAGGAAAGCTCCCATAAAAATAGTGTCTCTCTGTCATGTAAAACCAAAGTTGGAAATAGGCAGTCCGACAGTGGAGGGCAGTTACACAGAGTCCATATGGACCAGTCTCCTCCTTTCTTGATGCTTCACTACTGTCAGTCCTTGGCATCCCCCTCAAGGTTGAAGATGGCCACTTCAGATCCAGGCACCAAGTCCTCATCATTATATAAAGTCACATTCCAAGAAAAAGAAAAAAGCAAAGAGAGGCATTCCCTGTTCCTGGAAAGGCACTTTCTAGAAGTCCAATTTAACATTTCCTTCTTCATTCTTGTAGCAAATGAGACTGGAAAATACAGTTTCTCTTCTAGAAGCTATCTGTCGAGCTAAAATCAAGGAGCCTATTACTAAATGAGAGGAGGAGAATGGGATATTGAAGATCACCTGGCAGATTTTACCACAGTTTGGAAATCATAGATATACAGAACTTTTGAATAAGTGGCTTAAAAATCATTTTATACAAATCCCCTTTTTTACAGACAAGGAAAGAGAGATGCACAGCAGTTAAATGATTAGTTATGATCATGTAGTGTTAGTACCCTAATTAGAAACTGAGTTTCTGGGCTGCAGGTTTATATTCTTGATGATCAACTAACCTATGAAATTAAATTAGAGATGATGGTTTAAGAAAAAGATTCAAGTAGAACCCCTTTACATTAGTTTATTTATATCCTGAAGTTATGTTTATTTAAACTTTAAAAACCACATAATTCCACACAATACCTTTCTGTGCAAAATCAAGACTGATATACAAACTCATTCATTAAAACATCATGACAATTCTTTTTTTTTTTTCCTTTGTTTTTTGTTTGTTTGTTTTTAAGAAAGTAGGATTTATTGAGAGGACAGAAAAACTCCCACAGTGGGAGGGGACCAGAAGATGTTGCCCAATAGTTCTTAAATGTGTTCAATGGAAAAGATGAATTCGTGTAAAAAAAAAAAAAAAAAAAAGTTGTGAATATAGGTGCATCTCCTTTTGAGTTGAGGGAAATCTTTCTAAGCAAAAAAGCAATAGTGGAAAAAGAGAGAAAGCAAATAATAGATTTGACTGGATTAAGAATAAAAAAAATTCTTGCAGGGAGTGGCGGCTCACTCCTGTAATCCCAGCCCTTTGTGAGGTTGAGGTGGGAGGATTGCTTGAGCCCAGGAGGTTGAGGCTGCAGTGAACTGTGATCCTACCACTGCACTCTAGCTTGGGCAACAGAGTGAGACCTTGGCTCAAAAATGTTTTTCTGTCAGAGATATAAACAAAATCAATGTGGGCAAAGGTCATAAACAGGTGGGTCTCAGAGCAGATATATGCGTGGTTATTTAACATAAAAAATGTTTAATGTTACTAGAAGTCAAATAAATGCAAACTCAAACAAGAGATTTATTTCTTGTTTGATTGGCATAAATTATAATAGCCCAGTGTTGGGAAGGAGGATTATAATTTGATAAAAATTGCCAGAAGGCAGTTTGGCCATAACAAGATCCTTTAAAGTAAAAGCACTGTTTAACTCAGCAGTGGTCAAGTGCATGGCTGTGTATGTGCAAGGATATTCATCAGTGTTGTATACAGTGGTAAAATATTGAGGATTTTCTAAATGTAATTTTGCTCTATTTGGTAGCCATCTTCTCTTCGAAGAGTGACCATTGCCTCCTTACCCAGAAATATAGGAAATGCAGGAATGGTAAGAAAATCCTAAACATTTTTAGTCAAAGGTAAATTCATTTTCATATAACAGAAATTTAAAATTACTTTACTAAATTCATATTTCATCATTTTTTAAATATCTGAACTTCTAAAGGTGGCTGGGATGGAAAATAATGACCGATTCAGTAGGAGGTCAAGCAGTTGGTAAGTGTAATTTTATGGTTGCCCTTTGGGAATCTTACTGTTTTACAACTGGGATAAAGTAAATGAGTGTCTGAAATAAATGATATGATAGCATTTGGTTTGTACAGAGTATAAGCAGAATAAATAATTATATAAAATGGTATATGATCATAGTTTTCTTTTATTATGAAGTATGTGGTCTGTGAATGTGCCAAGAAAAAAATTAACTAGAGCATAATTTTTTTGTATTGATTTAAGCAGTAGGAAATAAACTGATAATAGCTACAGATGTATTTGATTTAATAAGTGACTATAATCATCTTTATTTAGGCGTATTTTGGGCTCAAAGCAGAGTGACCGTCCCTCATTACAGCGATTTATTAGCACCTATTCCTGGGGAGATGCTGAAGAAGAAAAATGTGAACTAAAGTAGGTGAAGCTTGGTGTGTTTATTGCCCTGACATGAACTGGAGCATAAATGATGGGAATCAATTTCATTCCGGGCGGATGAGCTCAGTGCTGCATCATCAAAGAGAGAACTCACTGTGAAAGAACTTCCATCAACTGCAGAGCACAATATAAATGTTATTTGTGAATGCATTCACTCTTGTATCTCTCTTGTAGTCCTTGGGTGACACTGGACAAATTGCTTAACCTTACTTGGTTTCAGTCTTCTCATCTGTGAACTCACGAGATCTTAATGAAATGATTTCATGTTCAGTTTATCCATTTTCCCTGAGGGCCTAACATGTGGTAGAAGCTGTAACCAATTCTAAGGAGTATAAAGATGACCAAGGCACACGGCCAGCACTGAAATAGTCTTTTTAAATTTTTTTTTACATTTTAAAAAACTTTTAAATCTTGGGAGCCCATGCAAAGTCTTTTCAGACTTAAGAGTTAGCATAATGGATCTTTTTTGAGCTTGGTGGAAAAAAATTTCAAGAGCTCCCTTCAAAAGATTATCTTCTACTTTTCGCTTTTTGTTAGTATGATTTCTACTGAAAAGCCTTGGCAAGCAAAAGACCGAATCCTTGAGAATCTTATAAGAATGTAAATTATTCTGGCTTTTAGGCCTTGTTTTCTTTAAAAGCTAAACTTCAGTCTACCATATATACTCCCTATAAGTGTCTGAGGGAAACAAACAAAAAGAATCTTGAGATACATTTCCCTTTAGCAATTGTGAGGACATTAAAAGCTTGGGATTTCAAAATTCAAATTCAACCAGGAATTTATCAGTGAACATGATAATGAAACAATTATGTTTTGTTCGGGTCAAGGAAACCCTTTTTAAATACTGTAATTTGGTTTAAAATACAGCTATTCCTGTGTACACCGAATACTAGCTTATTTTAACTAGGTTTTTATTTTAACTCGCTTAACCGAGAATATTTTCATAAACACTTTACAAATTATTAAGAACTTTAGAGAAAGAAAATAAATGAGGTTTGATGTTATTCCAAGTTAGCATTGATCAAAAATCCTACAGAGGAAAGAGTAAAGTCAACTGCTAATACAGGATATTTAAAAATTTGTAGTAGGAGAATATTTAATAAGAAAAGATTTTTCCTATATGTTGAATTACAAATGTATAAGAGAAGAAGAAATAGGTATTCACATTTGTTTTTTAAAGTATGGTTAAATATTTATATATATTCATGCAGAGGTAGAAATCATAGTAATAGCATTGGTTAATTATGAGTGGTAAGATTGACTTTTATACATTCTTTGTAAATTCCCCCTTCTGTATGTCTGACTAGTATCCCAACCTCTTCACAAACACCTTTTTTAAACAAAGTTATTTTTTAACATTAAATTCTTATAAAATTTTGAATTAAAAATTTGGTGATTTGACTTTTAGAATTAGATATTTATCAAATTTTCCTAAAACAGAACAAATATTTGTGAGCCTCTTGAGTTACAGTAAAAGTTTGCAATATTTTATTAATAATTACAGCATATTATCCTTAGCTCCAAATATTTAAAAACAAAATTTATTTACAGAACTAAAGATGACTCAGAACCACCTGGAGAAGAAATAGTGGAAGGGACAAGGAAGCCAAGTCTGTCTGAAAAGAAAAATAACCCATCAGAGTGGGATACCTCTTCGATGTAAGTTGTCTGCTTGCTAACTGTCACCATCTGAGTGGAGTGGGAAAGGGTAAGGCAGACATTACTTTTAAACAGCTAAAAGACATGCCAAACTGTTATAGTTAAGATGAATAACTAACTTCACATGATCTACAGAGTTATCCTTAAACTTATGTTACAAAGGAGGCAGGAGAGTATGTATAGTAATCTGACTCTGAAACAAGACTGCCTAGGTTCGAATTCCAGCTCTCTAACTAGCTCTGTGACCTGGGCAAGTTTCTCCATGTTTGAGCAACAATTTCTTTATCTGTAAAATAAAGATGATATTAGTACCTATGCCATCTGTGCTGTCATGAGTAAATGAATTAGCAGATGTAAAATGCTTAGTACAGTGTCTAGCACAGGGTTCATTATTTTCAAAAACTTAAATGACGCTGTAATATGTTTTATTGGTGTTACTAAAAGAAATAGAGTTTAAATTTTAGTTCCTCTTTATCTTTGGTTTTACTTTAGCAATCCCCAAATAGGTGAGCGTAGTACAATAAGATATTTTGTGAGGGAGTGGAGACCACATCTACATAACTTTTATGATAGTATGTTGTTATAATTATTCTATTTTATTATTGTTGTTGTTAATCTTTTACTTTGCCTAACTTATACATTAAATCATATGTGTGTATGTGCAGGAAAAAAACATAGTGTATAGAGTTAGTACTATTCTCAGCTTTAAGCATCCACTGGAGGTCTTGGAACATATACCATGAAAAAAAGGGAAACTACAGTACAGAAACATAAGTGAACACTCATATATCCTTCTCTACCAAGTAAATAATATGTTTTTGGCCAGGCATGGTGGCTCATCCCTGTATTTCAGCACTTTGGGAGACCAGGGAGGGAGGATCACTTAAGCCCAGGAGTTCAAGATGAGCCTGGTCAACATAGTGAGACCTCATCTCTATCATTTAAAAAAAATTTTTTTTTTAATATTTTATTTTCTCTAGAAGATATATTGAGAAAATGAGATAAATATTTGTATGTACTTGTTAGGAGTTAAATGATACCTAAATCACACAATTTTCAGATTCTTACAATAGCATTCATTTCTTTAATTTGAATAATGATAAGGGGACAGACTGTGTCAAAAACCAAAATGATAAATCATAATATGTAGTTTAAAAGACAGCATTGGTGGTATGCAGGGTAGATCAATGACTCAATTGGTATTGTTAGCAGAAGGAGTGTTTCTAATAGCAGATTAATGATTACCAAATTCTGTTTGTGCTTTCCTTCTAGTTATGCCACCATAGCTTCCTGGGCAACAAATCTCAAGACTTCCATCAGAAAGGCAAATAAGGCACTTTTGCTTTCTGTTGCGTTCATTGTACTTTTTGCAGCCTTGATGAGCTTCCTCACAGGTCCATTTTTCCAAAAGTCCGTGGATGCCGCTCCCACACAGGAAGGGGACTCCTGGATGTCTCTAGAACACATCTTGTGGCCATTTACCAGACTCCGACACAATGGGCCACCACCAGTGTGATAGCAGCCCATCCTAATATATGTATCTTGATTTTTAAATGTTAAAGTTTCAGTATCTGAATTTTGTAAATTAGAAGCTTTTGGTTGGGAAAGCATAGCATGAAGTCAGAGGTTCTCAGGATGACTGTAAGGTATTTTACATTCCTTCTTTTCTGTGTTTATCTCCCTGACAAAAATAACATGGGAAAGAAGCCTGTCTATCTTTTAATGAGCTTTTTTAGGAAGAAATGTTATATATTGTTTTATTAAATTTTATTGAAATAAAGAATCATTTAAATCTTCAAACAGTGAAAGTTGAAATTCTCAATAGATCAAGTAGTCAAAGGAAAAAAAAACACTTTGTTTACAATAAAATTTGAGTAGAAAATGCTGATTAAATAATTTTAATAGCCTATTTGAAACATATCCATTCACTCATTACACTTTATTGAAGAAATACCTGATTTTATTTCAAAATGCTTGATCCTTCATACTGAATAAACTTTGTAAGTGGAGATTACGAGTAGCTGAATAGTCTAGTAGACAGTAGCATTTGACACACACAGTCAACAAACTGACAGTGGGAACTCCTGACTTTCTCCATTGCTTCTTTAGAAGCAAAATCATTAACCATATGATATAAAGTAGAATGAAACTCAGTTTCCTCTTTAAGCGCTTCAGAAAATGTCTCGCTGTCTTCATTGATCTTGAGTCTTTGTGCTCTGTCACCACTAAACATTAAGAGGGCCCAGTTAGGTTTCTCAGTACCTTCTTCAGTAAGGTGTTCCCTCACCTAACAAAAAAAAAAAAAAAAAAAAGAAAATTAAAACAATCTGTTAATTGTTCCTCTTCTTGTTGGTACAGTATTATTTAAAGGGTTCACCTCAATTTCCCAAATACTAAAGTTAAAAGAGACATTCAAATGCCCCATGATTGGATTTCTTCAAACCAGAAAGCTGTTTCTATCTTGGTGATTATGGAGCTTATCCACATGTATTAATTCATGCAACAGATATTGACTGAGTACCTATCATATGCCAGGCACTGTTCTAGGTGCTGGGGATATAGTGGTGAAACAAAACACACTTACACAAATTATTTTATATATATAAACAACAGCAAACAAAACCCTGCCCTCAAGGAGCTTATATTTGAGTGGGGGACATACAATAAACAAAAATAAATATATAGCTAATTTATGCTTAAACATTTACCAGACAGCTTTTAGAATTTGATAAGATACATTTTTTTTTATGAGACAATAAAGGCAGTAAATGTGTCAGAGAGTTAATTGAAGGCTTAACTCTCTCGGAAAGTTTGAATCACAGATATAGTCATGCCAAAGGCTTCCATTTGTTCTTGAACTGATGTAAAGTGATACAAGGTCTCTGGCCTGAAGTCAAGAGCATTTTATACCATAGTGGACAGCAAAGGCATAACCTTTATATATTTTGGACTTACGTTTTTGAAAATTGAAATTTTACAGCTCCATTTTTGTTGTTGTTTGTTTCTTTGTTTTGAGTTGGAGTCTCACTCGCTTGTCCAGGCTGGAGTGCAGTGGCACGCTCATGGTCACCATAGCCTTAGTCTGCTGGGTTCAGGTGATCCTTCCCCTTTAGCCTTCCAAGTAGCTGGAACTACAGGCACACACCACCACGCCCAGCTAATTTTTTGATTTATTATAGAGTTGAGGGCTCACCAAGTTGCCCAAGCTGGTCTCAAACTTGTGGGCTCAGGCAATCCTCTCATCTCGGCCTCTCAAAGTGCTGGGATTACAGGCATGAGCCACTGCACCCAGCCAGCACAATTCCATTTTGAATGTTAATTTATTTTACCCCTCTAAGAGGGGAAGCCATGATCTACAATTGTTTAGTTTTTGAGTACTCTGTCTTCTTTTTGGAGGAATACTACGTACCTTAAATACAACATTTGTAGAATTACATGCTAGGTTCCACTTACTCCAACCAAACTCAAAAGCAGAACTTAGTAGGGCCATCTGTCGATAAGCTTTCATTTCTACCAAAGGAAACTGTCAATATGAAAACAAACAGAATTGATCTTAGAGCTTCTCAATAAGTCTCCGTCCACACTTGGTCACCTTCAGTCTATTCTCAACACAGAAGGATCCACTTAAATTTGTGAGTCAGTATACGACTCTTCTTTCAAAACTGGGCAATGGCTTTCCCTTTCTCTGAGTAGAATTCAGAGCTAACAACACCCCCACGTGGACCCCATTACTCTCTACCTTATCTCTTTTTCTTCTCCCTCTGCTCTCTTGGTTTTAGGCACCCTGGCCTCCTTGCTGTTCTCCTGTTCTCAAACACACCAGGCCACGTCCTCAGCGCTCTTGTTCTACCTGTCCTCTCTACCTGGAAGCTGCTTCCCCAGATACTCACTCAACTAAATTCACCATCTTCGAGTCTGCTCAAACCTTCCTTCCCATTAAGTCTCCCTCCCCAACACTCTATTTAATATTGTATACTGCCTCAATCCCCACTGCCCGATTGACCTTTTTTTTTAATAGCACTTTCACTTTTTTAGCATACTAGATCATTCTTTTCCTCTTCTACTATAATGTAAACTCCACAAGGGCAGGGACATTTGTTTTATTCACTGATATATTCAAATCATCTAAAAGAGTGCCTAGCATATAGGTATTCAGAAAAAAGAAAAAGATTTCTTGTATATAATATTCTGAAAACATGAACAGGACGCTACGTTTAACATTGTAGAGTAACCGGCAATTTGAGTTACTAAAACCAAGGGTTTTTTCCCCCCAATGCATATATGTACACACCCTTGGTTGTATGATTATTCCCAAAGGTTATATGACTATCTACCTATATTGTTTGTCATTTTCCAGTACATTTATAAACATGTTCTTGAGTATAGACCTTTTCCTGCCTACAAACACTTTTCATGATGAAAAACTACTTTGTGTCTTCATTCGTATACCACAAATGTTTACTAAACATCTATTGTATTCTAAGAATGTGCTACATGCTAAAAGAATCAAAATTGATTAGGGAACAGCTCCTTTCTGCAAGGAGTTCACACTTTAAGCTGGAAGGGTCTTATTTATTTAACAAGCCCGACGAGTAACATTAACAGACATGGGGGCTCTGCCCAGAAACCAGAGGAAGTGGGTTTTGTAAATTATGTTTAATTTTGACCAAATTACCAAAATGTTTGGTAAAGTGCAGAGTTATTTACTCTTTTACAAAATTTGAATATATTCAGTCATGGAAAAAGAAAATACACGAAATGAGACTCGCTTAGGCTACCTTTGCGCTATGAAGAACATTCTACAGGCTTGCTTTCTTGGGGAAAATCATTAAACTTGAGAGAGCCCTGGATTTTCACTTATTATTTCCTATCTTTTTAACTATAATCCTGTATAATGATATAAAGCTCATGGTGTATATATACAAAATTATATAAAATTTAACATTCTAAATGTCCACTACATTAAATTTGGAAAGATTCATTCTTGCCTTGTTGTTTATAACAACATAAAAATGAGAGTGTCCACTAGGAAAAATATTCAATCCAGCTTCTTTTAAAGCAACGATGAAAGGGATAGGAGACATCCATTTTCCTTTCAAAATACAGAAATGTTCCTTGTTTTTTATTTTGATTGAAGATAGCATGCAAAGGTTTTCCTAGATTAAATTTTAAAAAAAGAAACTTTTATATAAATTAAAGAAATTATTACTTCAGTATCATTCCAGGTCCAGTTTCTAGATTCTCTATACTACTTTTTAAATCATCCATCAGTCTATTTTAAAAAGAATGCAGGGCAAGTATGATTCGGGCCTGGTCAGAAAGCTCCACCACCAAGTCCCCATGTGACCTTTAGCAGTTCATGAACCCCTTTTGGACTGCATCTGAACAATCAAGGGAAGTTACTGAAGGAGCCCTCAAGTTTCCTATTTTATCAGTTATGACCTAAGAACAGGCATATGTTTCTACTGAATTAAAATACTATTAATAACAATCATGGTTGTATTTATAAGGATCATTCATAATTTTTTACACATGTAAATTCTAACATAATGAGGCAAAATTATCCAATTTTGAAGTTAGGCAAAGTGACAATTTGAAGGTGCACAGAGTTCACTTATCTTTTTTTTTCTTCTTTCTCAAATGTTAATATATTTTGCCTAACCTGATATATTTAAAATATTTCAATATGTAATCAGTTTGAAAACCATTAATGAGACAGTATACATTCTTTTTCCATATCAAGTATTAAAATCCGATATGTATTTTGCAGATGTAACACATATTAATTTGCACTAGTCACATTTCAAGAGCTCAATAGCTACTGCGTTAGCATAGATGCACCTTTAACATCTAACCTGAAAACACTGAGCAAGTCCTTGGTGTTTCCAAAACACGTGAACATTGTGAAGGTATTTGTATCTTTTCACAAGACTAGAGGAAGAGTGTTTACACACAAGGCTCTTCAGGGTTGCTGGGATGTGCAGGGGGGAAAGCCTAAGAGGAAGCCCCGGTACCATAATCTCACACAATTTCAGAAAGGTCACTTAACCTAACCGCTTTGGGCTTCAGTTCTTCTATGAACTGTGACAGGAGACCAGAAACATTTTAAGGGTTCTTTCTTGTAGCATTGATGATCCTGAGCTCGCTGTCTCCCATTTCATTTAGCTTGAAAAGCAAAGTTTAATAATATTCTAGTCTTTCTGCTACATTCATAAGGAACTCCAAGCTCTCTCTTTTTTAAAAAAACAACTTTGTTAACATATAAATATCATAAATTCATCCATCTCAAATGTACAACCCCAATGACTTTTAGAAACTTTATCGAGGGGTACAACTATTGCCGTTTTCATTCCTCCCAATAAGATCCCTTTTGCTCATTTACAGTTTATCACCATTCCACCCTCAGCCCCAGACAACCATTAATCTACTTTTGCCTCTATAAATCTCAGGCAATGTAATTTCTGACTGATGGACAATTCAGAGAGAGACCAGTCTCAAAGGGGATTTCAAGTGGCTCGATGATAATGATTGGGGGCCTCTTTAGGGTGGATCAAGAACTCTCTGGGATTCATACTGCAACCAGGCCTGTCATTTCATTAGTTGATCTATTCCTAGTAACTTTAGGGTACAAGTTTGAGCCTCACTATTTACATTATTGCCTATTTAATTGTTCAGTTAATATTTCATTTAGAAATTATTGCTCAAGGTACATTTTAAATGTAGTTATAAAAGACATTTCAGTTTAAATCAGCGGTGATTGATTGCTTTGATACACTCTATTATACTCATCAAAGAAGTTTACTTCTGATATGACTTACTATAACAGTAACTCACCTTAATTTGTATTTGAATCTCGGTAAATACTGTCGTCACAGTCAAAAGTACTTTATTTATATCAAGTGGTCTTAACTCCCATGACTGATAGGGCATGTTAATATGAGTATCTTGAATCAAGGTAACAGGGCCAAAGGTTTCCAGGCTGAATGTTATAAGTCTTTCTTCAGGCTTGTAAAATACATTACTGATGCCATCAGTTCTCCAATGTCTCCCTTTACGATAAATAAAATGACACTAGTTTCATTTTTTTCTATAAAAAATAAGATGGATAAAACCACCCAAATATTTGCTATTTGTATAAACTGATCTTCAACATTTAAAATAGAATCTCAACAAACAGTCAATTTTGCTGGGAGATTTCCTCTACTTAGAGGATCAAGTCCAAACTCCTCACCATGGTGTGTGAGACCTTCAACATGAAGCTGTTTACTGGTTCCATCCCTTGACTTCTCACACCTGTTTTCAGCCCCACTTTTTTCCTTCCATGAAAACACCAACTGGGCTCGGTGGCTCAGCCTGTAATCCCAGCACTTTGGGAGGTCGAGGTGAGAGGATTGCCTGAGCCCGCAGATTCAAGACCCACCCAGGCAACTTGGTGAGACCTGTCTCTAAATAAATAAAAAACCAGCTGGGTGTGGTAGCGCGCGCCTGTAGTTCCAGCTACTTGGAAGGCTGAGGCGGAAGGATCGCCGGAGCCCAGCAGGTTGAGGCAGCGGTGACCGGGAGCGGCCACTGAACTCCAGTCTGGGCGACAGAATGAGACTCCAACTCAGAAAAAAGAAAAAAACAAAGAAAATACCATTTACCTCTGGGCCTTTGCACGCGTCATTCACTGTTCCTAGAGCACTCTTCCCTAATCTTTTAAAGAGACACTCTTCGTCTTTGTTTTAAAACAACCTTAGAATTCACCTAGTTTAAGCATACAATTAAATTGTTTCTAGTCAATTTATCCAATTGTGTAACCATCACTACCATCCAGCTTTAGAACATTTTTATCCCCTCAATAAGATCCCTTATGTCCATTTAGAGTTAATTCCCTTTCCCACTTCCAGCCCCAGACAACTAGTAATGTACTTTCTGTCTCTAAAGATGTGTTTTTTCGGAACTTTTCACACAAATGCATTCATATAATAGGTTGTCTTTTGTGTCTCTTAAAACTCAGTGATAAAACACAACTCAATTTAAAAGTGGGTAAACAGTGTGGATAAACATTTCACCAAGGAAGATATATGAAAGGCTAATAAGTACATTAAAAGATGTCCAACATTATCAGTCATTAGGGAATCACAAATTAAAACCACAATGAGATACCACTTCACACCTACTAGAATGGCCATACTCAAAAAGACAGACAGTAGTAAATGGTATCAAGTATGTGGACACACAGAGCGGACAGGCATGTAAAATGCTACAACTACTTTGAAAAACAGTTTGGCAGTTTCTTAAAAAGTTAAATACAAATGTACCATTCAACCCAGCAATTTCACTCTTAGGTATTTACCCAGAAGACCTGAAAACACATGTCCACACAAAGACCTACATGCAAATGGTCTCTTTGACTTTTAAGGCCTTGTTCAATCTTCTATAAGAAATCTTCCTTGATTCTTCAGGTCGACCTGTTCACTGTCATGCTCTAAAGCGCTTTTTTTTTTTTTTTTTTTAAGAGAAGGGGTGTTGTTCTGTCATCAAGGCTGGATTGTAGTGGTGCAATCATAGCTCGCTGCAGCCTGCAACTCCTGGTCTAGTGATCCTCTTGTCTTAGCCTCCTGAGTAGCTAGGTCTACAGGCACACACCACCACACCCAGCTAATTAAAAAAAAAAAATTCAGAAGAACAGGGTCTTTCTACGTTTCCAGGATGGTTTTGAATTCCTGACCTCATATCCTCCCCTCCCACCTGGCCTCCCAAAGTGCTGAGATTGCAGCATAAACCATTGCTTTACATCTATGCTAGCATTCTACTATACTGTATTATAGGATGTTTTTCTGTCTGCCTCTCCTACAACTTTGAAACTCCCAGAGGAAGAATCTATGTCTCATTTATCTCTATATTTTTTATTGTTTAGCATCTTTATAGGACCACTTTTTCCCCAGATGCTCTCTTCATTTTCACTCAGTTCTCTTTCCTCCTCTCACAAGGAAGTTTCCATTGACTAGTTTTTACTCTTAAATTTCATAATAAGTACAATTATATTGATACACCAAGTTATTTTTAATTCTTTTTTCTATATTAACAAAATTATTTTAATTTATAAAGGTAAAATTATTGCCTATAAATAATTTTCCAAATTTCTAGTGTTTCTTGACAAAAAGTTTCCCTGTGGTTTAAAAATTACTAGAATTGTAGATTACTGCTGTCTAACTACTTCAGTTATACAGTCAAATTTTGCACAAGTTATATTTTCCTGAACTGCGTGGGATTATTTACCTTGTCTAATTAGAATTCAGTGTGAATGATTCTTAATGTAATAAATATTTAGGAATATTGCCATGAAAGTAAAGTGACACCTTTAAAACGATATGAAAGAAGAAAATACATAATTGTTCATTTTGATGTATTTAATAATTTATTATGCTATTATTTATTTATTTTATTTTTCCAGGCATGCCATGACAGGTATGATATTATATTATTAGAATTTACTGTTTCAAATACATAAGCTGTTTTCAGAATATAAATAATATCTCGTGGCTGTGTCTACACAAGCAAAATTGTGGAGAACTAGGGCATTCATTAAAAAGTTTAAACTATGAAATATTTTTTCATCTTGGTAGAAGTTCCTAAATTCTCCATAACCAAATAAGTAGATCATGTAAGGACTCTATGCTTGAGTGATCTTATCTCTTCTTACTCTATAACCAAGTATGTACATCTCTTCACGTTAATGGATATAAATCAAACTTAAAAACAAAGCATAAAACGGCATACATCAATTCACAAGACCAAGACCTTTCACAATTCCACAGTCCTACCCCAAAGGAGATATTTGTTAATGATCAGCAAGTCATCAGGTTATATTTCTACTGGTATTTCCAGTTTTATTACTATTATATATATATATATAAATTTTTTTTTTTTTTTTTTTT